CTTATGTGGTGCTGAGGAATCGAACCCAGGGCTTCATGCATGCAAGGCAAACACTATACCACTGAGCCACCTTCCCAGCCCCATACCTCAGCTCTTCAGCTCAAGGCTAGCACTCTACCCCTTGAGCCACAGCACCACTTCTGGTTTTCTGGTGGTTAATTGGAGATAAGAGTCTCAACCCTGATCCTCAGATCTCAGCCTCCTGAGCAGGTAGGATTACAGGTATGAGCCACTGGCACCCAGCTCAACTCTATTTTCTGCTCCTCTCTCCTCCCCAGAGACTGGAGAATAGGGCTAAAAGTCCAACCCTCTAATCATACACTAATCATTTTGTGGGACAGAAGTTCATGCCCAACCAGAAACTTCCAGGGCCTATCATTGTGATACACACCTGTAGTCCCAGCTACTGGGGAGGCTGAAGTGGAAAAGATTACTTGAGCCCAAGAGTTTGAGGCTAAGCTGGGTGCCGATGCCTCACAACTGTAAACCTAGCTAGCTACACAAGCCGAGATCTGAGGATCACAATTCAAAGCCAGCATGGGTAGAAAAGTCCCCAAGAAACTCTTTAACTCCAATAAATGACTCAAGAAAGTAGGAAGTTGGTGCTGTGGGTCAAGTGGTAGAGCACTCGCCTTGAGCTAAAGAGGTGAGGGACAGCGCTCAGACCCAGAGTTCAAGCCCCACAACCTACAAAAAAAAAAAGGTGGACAGCCGGGCACCAGTGGCTCACGCCTGTAATCCTAGCTACTCAGGAGGCTGAGATCTGAGGATCTCCCTCCAGAGCCATCTCAGGCAGGAAACTGTATGAGACTTATCTCCAATTAACAACCACGAAACCAGAAGAGGCGCTGTGGCTCAAGTGGTAGAGTGCTAGCCTTGAGCTGAAGGGCTGAGGACAGCACCCAGAGTTCAAGACCCACGAATGACCCAAAAAAAAAAAGAAATGGACATAGTGGCACCTGCCTCTAATCCCAGTACTCAAGAGGCTAAGGCAGGAAACTCATGAATTTGAGACGGCCAACCTGGGCTACATAGTGAACTCTGTCTCATAAATCCATTTGTTAATTAATTAAACAGAAACTAGAAGCATGCATCACCAAGTACTTTATTAGCAAACAAAGATGATTTTTTTTTGGGGGGGGCGGTCCGGTCGTAGGGCCTGAACTAAGGGCTTAGGTGCTGTCCCTCAGCTCTTTAGCTCAAGGCTAACGCTCTATCACTTGAGCCACAGCACCACTTCCGGCCTTTTTCTTTTTGCTTATGTGGTGCTGAGGAATCGAACCCAGGGCCTCATGCATGCAAGGCAAGTGCTTTACCACTGAGCCACCTTCCCAGCCTCACAAAGATGATTTTATCTGAGGGTTTTAGTGCCAAGAACCAAGGATCAAGACCAAATATACACTTCTTACATCTCAGTGCCACAACAGTGGGAAGAAAATTTAAGTGATAATAAAAAGTAAAGTGAAAATAATTCTAAGCTTCTGTCTCTTCTTTAAGTGAATATACACTGAATTTCAAAATGTTTACCAAAGAAAGTGAACAGAGCATACACTAAATACCAGCCCAGTTATTGGATGGCACTGCTGTCACACACCTGAGGACTGGCGCAAGGTCTACACGATGAGATGTGCATGTTGTGGTTAGAAGCAAAATGGCTTGGTTTCTGACATCACTCAATAGACCCCAGTATTTCGCTTACCTACTTTGCCTGTATGAATTTAAATTGCAATGAGTCAGGTGCCGTTTCCCTCTATGACCATAGTTTTCTGTCATTCTCTTGTTCTCTTCTCTATTACCATAGAACCTTAGCTGAGTCCTGGTCACATGCAAACACTACAATAATTAGTATAGATAGTGTAATATTAGTAGTATAATGAGGTCTTATCCCCATGTTTTCTAGCAGTTTTTCTATAAGGAAACTTTCCATCAGTCTTTCAAGCAGTTCAGTGTTTATCCAGTAGGTAGCAGCAGTGTCAAATGTCAGGTTTTATGGAAAGAATACTAATACTAGGCTTCTTTTCCTTTATGTCCAGGCATGATTGGACCTGCCATATTCCTGGTTGCCGCTGGGTTTATAGGCTGTGATTATTCCTTGGCTGTTGCATTCCTCACTATATCAACTACACTTGGAGGCTTTTGTTCTTCAGGGTTCAGCATCAACCACCTGGATATTGCTCCTTCGTGAGTACAAATATAGATTCTCATAATTGGCTATTTTTGTAATGATATCTATAAGTATAAAATTTATCAACTTAGCATTTTGTGTGTGTGTGCCAGTCCTAGGACTTCAACTCACGGCTTGGGCACTGTCCCTGAGATGATTTTTTTGCTCAAGGCCAGCATTCTACCAGTTGAGCCACAGCTCTACTTCCAGCTTTTTGGTGGTTAATTGGAGATAAGAGTCTCATGGAGGGCTGGGAAGGTGGCTCAGTGGTAGAGTGCTTGCCTTGCATGCATGAGGCCCTGGGTTTGATTTCTCAGCACCACATAAGCAGAAAAAGGCAGAAGTGGTGCTGTGGCTCAAGTGGTAGAGCTGAAGAGCTGAGGGACAGCGTCCAGGCCCAGAGTTCAGGCCCCACGACTGGACCCCCCCCCAAAAAAAAAAAGAGTCTCAGGGACTTTCCTGCCCCAGCTGGATTAGAACCAGGATCCTCTACATCTCAGCCTCCTAAGTAGCTAGGATTATAGGAATGAGCCACCAATACCTGGTTCCAATTTAGCCATTTTAAGTTTCTAACTGGAATTTTATGCCCACTAAATACACCCTCATGCCACTCCTCCCATATCCTGGTAACCATCATTCTGCCTTTTGCTTCTGTAAGTTTGACTCCTTGTGAAAGACCTAATCCTTTGCAAAATTTCAACTTACATAGTTGTTTTTAAACTTTTAATCTTGCTCTCTGACATTTGAAATAAAAGAAAATTGGAGCATGAAATAAGAATTGGAGCTATTGCCAAAAAATGAAAATGGATACTATGAAAAAAAAAAGTTAAGTGCAATGAACTGAACTATTTTCTTGCTAGCTTAGAGTCCAGTGTCATGACCCAAGTCACAGATTGATCCAAGTAAAGTACTAAATATTAGTGAACTGTTAGAAAAAGAAAATACTGGCTGGGTGCCAGTGGCTCACACACATTATCCAGGAGACTGAGATCTGAGGATCTGAGTTCAAAGCTTGCCCAAGCAAGAAAGCTTCCATGACATTCTTTATTACCAATGAACCACCAGAAAACTGGAAGTGGTGCTGTGGCTTAAAATTATAGAGCGCTAGCCTTGAACAAAATAGCTCAGGGACAGTGCCCAGGCCCTGAGTTCAAACCCCAATACCAAAAAGAAAAGAAAGCTGATCACTAAGGAACCAGCACTGGTTCACTAATAGCCAAAATAGCCCAAGTTCTCTATATGATTTCTAGCCTATACAGTAAAGGAAGATTTGAGTTGTTAGGACTTGGGGACAGGATAGACAAAGATGAATTGGATGTATGATTCAGTAACAATTTACACTTACTAAATCTTAATATAATGTAGTGTGGCAGTTTAGTAACATAAATAATGCCTGCAAGCCACTGAAGAAGGGAAGAGAATGGTGAGAGTGTCTGTAGCTAAGGTAAAAAGGACCAACATACTTATTTTCAGTTGATCAAGACACTAGAGTGTAAGTATGAACAAACACAAGTTATATAAAGATGCATCTGTAAGGTAACTTCATCAAAGTCAAGATTATTTTTCACTATTATATTTTGACATAACCCTTCAAATGAGTTTCCAGTTTTTGTTTTCAGACTAGAATTTCCTGGCTTAGAGAACAGTAGTGGCTAAGCAAATTGGTACCATCAATAATTGCAGCTTCTCAAAAGGCAAAGGCAAGAATATCACAAGTTTGAGACTAGTGTAGCCAACTTAGCCAGACCTTCTTTCAAAACAAAATCTTCATTGATGAATATGAACTATGCGGGACTGGGAATGTGTCTTAGTGGTAGAGTGCTTGCCTAGCATGCATGAAGCTCTAGGTTCGATTCCTCAGTACCACATAAACACAAGCCAGAAGGGGCACTGTGACCTCGATCACAAAGAGGTTCAAAAACAGTGCCCAGGCCCTGAGTTCAAGCTCCAGGACTGGCAAAAGTGTAGGGGGGAGGGAGGAAGGGAAAAGGGAAGGAGGGAGGGAGAGGGGAACGAGGGAAAGAAAGAAAAGAACTATGCTGGGAAGGTAGCTCAGTGGTAGAGTGCTTACCTTGCATGCATGAGGCCCTGGGTTCGATTCCTCAGCACCACATAAGCAGAAAAGGCCAGAAGTGGCACTGTGGCTCAAGTGGTAGAGCACTAGCCTTGAGCTGAAGAGCTGAGGGACAGTGCAAGCCGGAAGTAGCACTGTGGCTCAAGTTGTACAGCATTCACCTCAAGTTGAAGAGCTTAGGAACAGCATCAAGGCCCAGAGTTCAGGCCCCACAACCAGACCAAAAAAAGAAAAAGAAAAAAAAAATGACAAGAAAATAAAACAGTTGCTATAGGGGATAGATACCAGCAGATAGGAAGATGGCCAGCAGAGATGGCAAGTGAAATACTCTGTATGCATGCATAAAAACAATGATGAAATGTGTTGAGATTGTTTCAAGAAGCGAGAGAGGAAGGAGAGTGAGGAGGGTGAGCTGGATTGAGGTACACTGTACTCATGTATGGAGATGTCACAGTGAAACCCCCTTGTACAACTACTACATGCTAATAAAAATGCAAAATAAAGTAAAACCTTAAGCCAGGTACTCCTGGTCACACCTGTAATCCTAGCTACTCCAGAGGCCTCAGCCTCTGTGTGAGCCAACCTGGGCAGATAAATCCAGAGACTTATTAATTCCAGTTACCTGGCAAAAAGCCAGAGGTTAAGCTGGGTGCTGGTGGCTCATGCCTGTAATTCTAGAGACTCAGGAAGATGAGATCTGAGGATCATAGTTTGAAGCCAGCCTAAGCAAGAAAGTCCATGAGACTTGAACAACCAAAAAGCCAGAAGTGTAGTTCTGGCTCAAGTAATAGAACGTCAGCCTTGAGTACAAAAGCTAAGGAATAGCACCCAGCCCCCTGAATCCAAGCCTCAGTAGCAGCACACCAAAAAAGGTTAATATTTCTACTAGCATATTTCTACTAGCATATTTCTACTAGCATATTTCTACTAGCATATAATTGTGTACATGGCTTTTCCTCCATAGAATGAAATAGAGATTCTCAATGAATATTTCTGAAGGGAATTGATTTGCAGTGGCTGCTTCAACACAATTCTCATTCTTGAGCAGCATAAAATCCAGACTGAAGCCATAATACAGTATGTTTTCTCCCATGGCTATGACTCTCTCCCGGCCTGGCCAAGTGTAATATAAATACCTGAATGAACTTCTTGGTGCTGACACGTAGAATTTCACAGCATTCATCTGCACTTAATATCTGTCACTGAAAAGACCTGGCAATGCAGCACTTGGCCCCTCCTACTGCCACGGTGTTAATGGTTTAAAAGAGAGAGAGAGACAAGGCCTGCCAAGGTTGAGTAATTTAAGATACCCTCCCTCCAGGGGATAAGCCAGAACGATCTCTGTGCATAAGTGTGCTATTGGGGCATGTAGGCATGGATTTAAAACATAGTTTCCGAAGTTAAGCTGGGCACCAGTGGCTCATATCTATAATTCTAGCTACTCAGGAGGCTGAGATGTATGTTGGTTCAAAGCCAGCCTGGACAAGAAAGATCATGAGCCCCCTTTTTTTTTGGTTGTGGGACTTGAACTCTGGACCTGGGTGCTGTTCCTAAGCTCTTCAACTTGAAGCTGTACAACTTGAGCCACAGTGCAACTTCTGGTTTTCTGGAGGTTAATTGGATATACGTCTCAGACTTTCCTGCCCTGGGCTGGCTTTGAACCGTGATCCTCAGATCTCAACCTCCTGAGTAGCTAGGATTATAGGACTGAGCCACTGGCGCCCACTGTCACCTGGCTGATCAGGAGACTCTTATCTCCAGTTAATCACTACACCTGAAGTGGAACAGGAGTTTAAGGAGTAGAGTGCTAGCCTTGAGCACAAAAGCTCAGAGACAGTACGTAGGCCCTGAGTTCTGGCCCCAGAACCGCGTATACCAAAAAAAAGTTTATATAGGGTTTGGGGGAGGGGGAAGGCAGTCCTCAGCTTTTGTGCTCAAGATTGGTACTTTACAACTTGAGTCACAGCTCCGCTTCTGCTTCTTTTGGTGGTTATTTGGAGATAAGAATCTCACCGACTTTCTTGCCTGTGCTGGCTTCAAACCTCAATCCTCAGATTTCAGCCTCCTGAGAAGTAGGATTACAGGTGCGAACCACCAGCACCCTCCTTGTTTATAATAATTTCAACAGAGCTTTTGTTTTTCTCATTTAGGCACCTTTCTATTCACAGTAGCGAATGTATGTCAGACCCATAGCCTGCAACCTAGGTACTGAGGATCCTAGTCCTGATAGAAATGCCTCATCCAAAAAAAAAAAAAAAAAAGGCCAGGCACCAGTGGCTCACTCTGTAATCCTAGGTACTCAGTAGGCTGAGATATGAGGGTCTGTTCAAATCCAGCCTGAGTAGGAAAGTCCTTGAGACTCTTATCTCCAATAAACCACCAGACTACCGAAAGTGGTGCTATGGTTCTAGTGGTAGAGCGCTTACCTTGAGCTAAAGAGCTTAGGGACAGTGCCCAGGCCCAGAGTTCAAGCACCAAGACTGACAAAAAAAAAAAAAAGAATTTCATGGGGGTTTTAGTGATGGTAGTGGCAGTGTTATTGTTTTGTTTTTCCTTTTCTTGGGGGCGGGGGGTGGGGAGGATGAGCATTCAAGTAGGGCAAAAAAATTTTTTAAGATTTGCATTTAAACATTAAATATCTCATTCTCAAAAAAAAAAAAAGAATATCTCATTCTCCTATCTTCTTAAAAGAAATGATTGCATTTGAGAAACTTTTTCCAAACTTGCTAGCAATACCTGTTGCTTTCTTTGGTCATACTCACACAATGTAGAACAAACTTGTCTCCCCAGGCAATGTAGAAGATTTAGCTGTAAGCAAAATATTCACTGGTGAAATCAGTATGTTATAAAATTACATATTTCACATGGTCTCATATTTACAATAATATACTAGAAGTAGAAACATAGTAAAACTAATTAGAATACCAAAATGTTAATGCTGATTGTCTCTATTTGAAAGAATTACACAGGTTTTTTTTGTTGTTGTTGTTTTTCTTTGTCCATCATGGGGCTTGAACTCTGGGCTGGGCGCTGTCCCGCAGCTCTTCAGCTTAAGGCGAGCGCTCTACTGCTTGAGCTACAGCACCACTTCCGGTTTTCTGGTGATTTATTGGAGACAAGAGTCTCATGGTCTTTCCTGCCCGGGCTGACTTTGAACCATGATCCTCAGATCTCAGCCTCCTGAGTAGCTAGGATTACAGGCGTGAGCCACCAGCGCCTGGCTATGTTTTTTTGTTGTTATTTTTGTTGTGGTCAGTCATGGGACTTGAACTCTGGGCCTTGAGGGGGAAACAATTTTTTTTAACTCAGTGGGACATTGGTGGCTCATACCTGTAATGTAATGCCTAGCTAAGAGAATAAGGATCACACAATTCAAAGCTAGACAGGGTAGGAAAGTTCACTAGACCCCATCTTCAGAATAGCCAGCAAGGGCTGGGAAAGTGGCTCAATGGTAGAGCATTTGCCTTGCATGCCTGAGGCCCTGGGTTCGATTCCTCAGCACCACATAAGCAAAAAGAAAAAAGCTGGAAGTGGCGCTATGGCTCAAGTGGTAGAGCGCTAGCCTTGAGCTAAAGAGCTGAGGGACAGTGCCCAGGTCAGAGTTCAGGCCACACGACTGGACCCAAAAAAACAAAACAAAATAGCCAGTAAAAAAGCAAGGTTGGGGATGTGGTTCACATGCTAGGGCACCATCCTAGCAAGTACCACACACACACACACACACACACACCGTACACAACAGCTTTTATCCAGCAATCGTATGTATGAAAAATCATGTCAGCACTCTTATCATTTCAATGGCCTGTTCCTCTATGCAGTGTCACAACACTAATGAACAATTGGAATATGTTTTTTCATCAGCTAAATATAAAATCCCAGTTGAGTAAGTCATTTTACAAGCGTATGAGCTCAGAGCAGAGCGCCATGTGGCGCATGTGACCGAGCATCTTATGCTTCCGCAGGTACGCTGGGGTGCTGCTGGGCATCACCAACACCTTCGCCACCATCCCAGGCATGGTCGGGCCTCTCATCGCTACAAGTCTGACCACACACGTGAGTCATTCCTTCACTTGTCTACTAAAAATGTTTGGGAAAGGGGAGTAGGGGTGTGGCTTTAGCGGTAGAGTGCTTGCCTAGCAAGCATGAAGCCCTGCGTTCGATTCCTCAGCACCACAAACACAGAAAAAGCTGGAAGTGGTGCTGTGGCTCAAGTGGTAGAATACTAGCCTTGAGCAAAAGAAGCTCACCCAGACTGTGAGTTCAAGCCCCAGGACTGGCAAATAATAACAAAATGTGTCTGTGTTACTGGAGCTCATCTCAGTGCTGTGTAATTGTCCACCATAGCCCTTATGCTGTAGGACTGACTATAAGGTGGTTTCGGACATGGGCTTTGACCAGTAATGCTGCCGTGATGCCCGCTATGTGGATTTTCTTTCTTTCTTTGTAGAACACGGTTACCGAATGGCAAATCGTCTTCTATATCGCTGCTATTATTAATGTATTCGGTGCCATTTTCTTTATGGTATTCGCCAAAGGTGAAGTGCAGAGCTGGGCTCTCAGTGATCAGCATGGACACAGAAACTGACGAAGCCAATAAAGAATCCTGTCTCCAGTGATGTATTTGTTTATCATGTAACCTGAAAGTGCCTTTGAGATTTTAATGTGTAAGCATTCTATATACAAAAAAAAAAGTGTACTTGTGATAGTTTTTTTAAGGTTTGTAATCAGGAAGTGTCACTAGATGCCAGATGAGTAAAATGAGCAATTTTTAATTAATAATAATATATAAGCTGAACCTCTTACTTCAAGTTCACAAACGTAGCTCCAAGTCAAGGAGCAGGAAGTAGCGGCAACACTTAAGGGAGTGAGCTGAAATGGCTCACTTGGCTTAAATGATCTAGATTCTAACTCTTAGATCTTAGAGCAAACCCACTCTTGTTCACTTTTCTCATAAAAATGATGTATCCCTGACAAACGTGAGCTGCCAGCCACCGTCTAAAGAGGCCTGGTAGAGACTAAGGGCCACCTGCCCAGGCGGCCGCCAGCCTCAGCGCCACCGCCCAGGGCTTAGCAGGGGCCGCATATATGCTCACGCCTGCGCCAGAACTTTGGATGGCATTTTCCCTGGGGGCTCCTCATGTGTGTGAAGCTCAGAGCAGACAGAAGCCAGCCAGCCCAGCCATAGACTGCAGGGATCCCTCGCTGCCCTCCCCAGGAAAGGGGGAAACCGTGCCACCAGACTGCAGCTGCTTCCCCTGCATCAGAATACAAGCTCCCAAATCCCAGCGGGTTCTGAGATAATGAAGAAGGAAACAAAATAGCTCATTCTTTTTTCTTCAGCTTGCCTTCATGTAAGACGCAGTGACTTTGAGGGCTGCGGGTAGAGCCCAGAGGCCCTGGGTGCAATCAGTCCCCAGCTGCAAGTGAGAGACTCAGAATGGCCTCCAGGCCTACGGTGAGGGTAACCACCTTTACTTCTGGGTCCTTAACTTGTATTTTTCCACTTCCCTTTCCTGACCCATCTCTTGGTGGTGATTAAGGCAGTGGGGTATAGATCTGGTATAACTCCTGTCTTATCATGCACAAGGCCCTGGGTTCAATCCCCAGCACTCCAAAACAAAAAACAAAACAGACAAAGAGAGAAGAAAGTAGATCAAACTTGATTTATGTTTTATTTGTTCAACACTACCTGTAATGTCTCAACTGAAATCTGTTTAATGTAACATGATGTGAATACATTTACGTAAATTTATTTTTAAATTTGTAAATATAAATTACATTGCTATGGTGATATTTCTTTTATAAATCATCGAAATAAACCTTTTGGGTTGATCTTTGGATCTGATGGTTCTGTGGTTTTTTCCTAGCGTTCTCGGGGAGTGTGAGCATCTACGTGTGCATGCAGGAAGCAATGGAGGTGTGGCTCAAGTCGTAGAGTATTAGACTTGAACTTTAAAAGACTGAGACAACACCCAGGCACTGAGTTTGAGCCCCAGAATAGGAGTGTGAACACATGCATGCACGCACACACACATACACACACACACAGAGTTTATAGATGGCAATTAGTGTTAAACAGTTCATTTGGGGAGTTTTTTTTGGGGGGTGGGAGGGTTGCTAGTCATGGGGTTTGAATTTAGGGACTGGGTGCTGTCCCTGAGCCTCTTTGTGCTTAAGGCTAGTGTTCTAACTTGAGCTACAGCACTTCTGGCTTTTTCTGACTAGTTTATTGGAGATAAGCGTCTCATGGCCGTTTTCTGCCTGGGCTGTCTTTGAACCAGGATGCTCAGATCTCAGCCTCCTGAGTAGCCAGGATTACAGGTGAAAGAGGATCCCACATATCCATCCCAGGGACCACACAGAGGCAGGCAGGCACAGGAGAAAGATTATTACAAGGCTTATGAGAGGAGCCATATTTCCCCTAAGAGGGAGTCCACAGCCTCCGTCCCCATCCAGGTAGCAGGAAGGTCTGGGGGTAGGGAGTGAGGTAGATGGGAGTTCAGGTGGGTCTGGGCCCAGAGAGGGAGTGGCCAGCTCTGTGCTGGGAACTCTAGGAATGGGAGGGGGACCCAGGTGTGGGTAGAGCTGAGGACCAAAGGTGAGCATAATATTAACAACAGGCCTGGACCGTGTGGCTCACACCTGTAATCCTAGCTACTCAGGAGGCTGAGATCTGAGAATCACAGTTCAAAGCTAGCCTGGACAGTAAAGTCCATGAGACTCTTCTCTCTAATAAACCGCTAGAAAACCGGAAGTGGCGCTGTGGCTCGCTCGGGTGGTAGAGCGCTCACCTTGTGCTGAAGAGCACAAGGACAGCGCCCAAGCCCAGAGTTCAAGCCCCATGACTGACAAAAAAAAAAAAAGCTAACAACATGTGTATGCTAGGCTGATAAATGGTTTTGATAGTATTGTGGAATCACTTTGTTATACATAAAACACTCCCAGTTATTAAGCAAATGTTTACCAAACATTTGTTATGTGCCAAACATTATTCTTTGCATAGATATAAAACAAAGAAGAAAGAAAGAAAGAGAGGGGGGGGCTGGAAAGGTGGCTCAGTGGTAGAGTGCTTGCCTTGCATGCCTGAGGCCCTGGGTTCGATTCCTCAGCACCACATAAGCAAAAAGAAAAAAGCCGGAAGTGGTGCTGTGGCTCAAGTGGTAGAGCGCGAGCCTTGAGCTGAAGAGCTGAGGAACAGTGCCCACGCCCAGAGTTCAGGCCCCATGACCCAAAAAAACAGAGAGAGAGAGAAAGAAGTTGGGGGAAGGAAAGGAGGGAGGAGGGAGGGAGGGGACTGGGCTTAGTGGTGGAGTGCTTGCCTAGCATGCTTGAAGCCCGGGGTTTGATTCCTCAGTACCACATACACAGAAAAAGCTGGAAGTGGCACTGTGGCTCAAGTGATAAGAGTACTAGCCTTCAGCAAAAGAAGCTCAAGGACAGCACACAGGCCCCGAGTTCAAGCCCCAGGACTGGCACACCCCGTCGTCCCCCCCCCCCAAAAAAAAAAGGAAGGTTGATTATTCTCATGGAGCCTAAAATCTTTTCTCTCAACCCTTGCTTCCTAAATTCTAGCTTTTTCAAAACTACCATGCAGAACATCAATAGTCAAATCCTGTGCTGACTAACTTGAGAATCAGGTTTCTGAAAGAACTTGAGATCACCCCTGAAGTATGCAGCTTGTTCTGGCCAGGATCCTCAGCCTTTTAGTTCCAGAAATCAGAAAGAGATGTTTAGTTCCTGTTAGTCTCCTTTTCTGATTTTGTTGTTGTGTCAGTACTGAGGCTTGAACTCAGAACTTACGCTTGGCTCTTTGTATTCAGGGCTGGCACTCTGTCACTTGAACCATGCCTCTACTTTGGGGTTTTTGTTGTCTCATTTGCTGCTGGTGCTGACTTTGATTCTCAGATCTCAGCCTTCTGAGCAACTAAGGTGACAGCTGCAGTCTAAGAGTGGCACATCACTGTTGAAAAGAAAACTCGTGAGGCTGAGAAGGTGGCTCAGTGGTAGAGCGCTGTCTTGCATGCATGAGGCCCTGGGTTCGATTCCTCAGCACCACATAAGCAAAAAGCCAGGAGTGGCGCTGTGGCTCAAGTGGTAGAGTGCTAGCCTTGAGCTGAACAGCTGAGGGACAGCGCCTAGGCCCAGAGTTCTAGCCCCGCAACCGGGCCAAAAAAAAAAGAAAAGAAAACTCCCTCAAATAGAAAATCTGATAAGAGTATTTAAAGGCAGGAAGAATACTAGGAAATGACCCAGTTCTAGTCAGGCCTTAGTGGCTCATGTCTGTAACCCTAGCTACTCAGGAGACTGAGATCTGAGGATCATGGTTCAAAGCCAGCCCGAGCAGGAAAGTCTGTGAGACTCTAATCTCCAATTAACCACCAGAAAACCGGAAGTGCCACTGTGACTCAAGTGGTAGAGCTGTAGCCTTGAGCTGAAAAGCTGATGGACAGCACACAGGCCTGAAGTTCAATAGAATATTTAAAGGCAAGAAGACCACTAGGAAATGATCCAGTTCTCTCAGCCTAGAGCATGCTACTCTGACAAACAGGAGTGAATGTCTCATTTCAGCAGGAGAATAAACCTTTCTCATATACAGAAGACGTCCAGATGGATCGCAGGGCCTTCTCAGATGCCTTGGCCTCTTAAGCAGAAAATCTAGCTGCAAATCTAGCTGTAAAAGTCCTTACAGTGGAAGACAATACAGGAAGGCATTGCTGGAGTGCTGTGACAGCTGGGAACACAACTCACCCGGAAAAGAAAAGCAAGGTCCTGCTCGGGCCTTGATGGGGAAGAGGAAGTCAGTAATTTTCCAGGCGCCTGCTTACTTTCCCTTGATCAGGGTGTTGGGGGAGGAGGAAAGTTAGAAGTTCCACGTCACTGCCAGCCCTGCTGGTGAGTGACAAGCCAGGATTATGCAACTGGGCTGAAAGTATTTAAACCATCCAGTTCTCTGGTTACTCTTCTTTCAGGGGAGAAAAGGGGGCGGGGGAGGAAGGAAGGCAGAAAGAGAACAAAGTATGGAAGGAGAGGAGAAAGAAAAGAAAGCTGGTAATCCTAGCTACCCTGAAGGCTAAAATCAGGGTTGAAGCCAGCCCAGACAGGAAAGTCAGTGAGGCTCTTGTCTCCAATTAACCAGCAAAAATGAAAGTGAGCCAGGTGCTGGTGGCTCACACCTGTAATCCTAGCCCCGCAGGAGGCTGAGATCTGAGGATCACAGTTCCAAACCAAGGCCCTGAGCTCAGGGAGGCTGGGCTCTAGTGGCTCCCGCCAGTAATCCTAGCTACTCAAGAAACTGAGATGTGAAGATTGCAGTTCTAAGATAGCACGGGCAGGAAAGTCCTTGAGACTCATCTCCAATTAATAACAGAAAAAGCCGGACCTGGTGTAGGCTCAAATGATGGAGCAAACCACCTGGCACACTAAGAGTTCAGGGACAGCTCCCAGGCCCAGAGTTCAAAACCCAGGATCAGAAAAACAAGTCTGTTGGTGTGTTGAGTTAGCTTTCTGCCCTTTATTCTAATACCTCAGGACTTAGTACCACCTTCCATCCTCCAGCTCTAAAAACCCACCCCACCCCACAAGTTACCAGCTTCCATTTGCACCTTGGGTAAAATGACTCTATTCTCCCAGAAGCCATGTATGGGTGTGTGCTGAGTCTTAAACTCAGGGCTTGGCCACCTCGCTTGAATTTTCTGCTCCTGGTTGGTGCTCTACCATTTGAACTACAGCTCCAACTCAGGCCTTTGGGTGGCTAAATTGGAGATGAGTCACAGACTTTCCCGCCTCTACTGACTTTGAACCTCGCTTCTCAGATCTCAGCCTCCTAGGCAGCTGGGGTTACAGGTGTGAGCCACCATCGCTGGCTCCTCAACCATTTTTTTTCTTCTTGATGGGGGCCTGGGGGCTTGAACTCAGGATCTGGACGCTGTCCTTGAGCTGTTTTTGCTCAAGCTTAGCGCTCTGCCACTTTGAGCCACAACTTCCCTTTTGGCTTTCTGGTGGTTAACTGGGGATACGAGCCCCCACAGCCTTTCCTGCCCGGGCTGGCTTTGAACCTCGATCCTCAGATCTCAGCCTCCAGGTGGCTGGGATGACAGGCGTGAGCCACGAGGGCGGCCCCGGCCTGGATTGGAAGCGTGCGCGCAGCTCCTCTCCCCGCAGCTGCTTGGGCTTCGCCGCGATCTCTCCGTGCTGAAGTCCACTCCCTGCGCCCAGGCCGGGGACCCACGCCGCCCCGGAGGCCGGGGAGGCCGGGGAGGCCCCCGAGACCCAGATTCGGACCCCTGGTGGCGGGCGGAAACCCGAGTCTGACCCTCTCCCGGCTGGTCGGTGAATCAGAGCTCCCGGAGCCTGGATTTCCTTTGTCTCCGGAAACCCGGCTGCGGGGCCGGCCGAGCCCGCACAAAGGAATGCCGTGACTCAGCGCGGCCGCGCGGTGCGCGCGCGCGGGGAGGCCCCGC